TATATATATATATATATATATATATATATATATAAAATAGTATATAAAATATTTAATATTAGTCTGGGGAGTAAACTAAAAAATTTACTAGCCAATGGCGATTTTATTGCCAAGGTGCCCGTAGAGGGTTGGTAATTTGAATTTTCACAGACAAATTCCAGTCATTTCAACAGGAATTGTAAGTTTTGCGTGAGGGCAAAAAGTTTGTAATGAGGCTCATGTTCAAGTTTGTAATGTGAATTCACTGTTCTGGCCAACAGATAGCTGCTTGGTAGAATTTATTTATTTATTTATTTTTGCCCATGAAATTTAGCTTTGCTCTGGAACGGCACCCCAGGTTGATTATTGACTTTTTTCTGATTTATTTACTGCAAGTCCTTCTCAAATGAGGGACAATGTACAATCAGCCGTTATATCAAAATTTGTCATTATGCCTATAAATGAATCCTAAGTTCTGCATGAAAGAGTTTCAGCAAAAATTGACTTCTATTTCATGTCTGTTTTTTACACAACGCTACATCTTAGTTTTTAATATGGCTTTAGAATAATTGGAATACAGCATATTAGTTGTATGGATTAGGGTTATGGTTTTAGAGTCAATAATTCCACTTTTTAATTTTTTGGGGGGTGGGATGCTGTGAATTAGCTCTTTAATTTCGTCTTTAAATTGAATTCTAAGATGAAATTTCTTTTTGCAGAGCATCAATAAGCGCTGTGGCCTGGTCGTTGTCGGGTGAATATGTGGTAAGTGTGGACAAGAGCTGTCGAGCTGTGCTCTGGAGTGATATCTGAGAGCAGACACAGGCTGCCTTTTCCCTTCTCATCAACTGAAGTCAGTCCTGGAAATGCACTCGGGGATGTCATCAAAACACAGCCCTGTTGGGAAAAGCTCACACGCTGCACTCCGTCAATAACAAGACCTGTAGTATTGTGACAGTCTCTGTTGCTAAGAGGCCGTGTCACCCAAAACGCAGACAGATGTGCTAATGTTACAGGGGTCTGGCGACTGTCGAGCGGAGCTGTCTGGGTTTTGTTTTGAAACCTTGTTACACATGAATTGCTGACGCAGAACGTGCCGAAGCGTTTGTAGGTCTTCCTGTTGCTTGATTCTTACTGTAATTGTCAGCAACTTTAAAATCTCTTGACATACACCAGATATCACTGGGATTTGATATCAAAGGGAAACATGAACAAAATGGATTCAGCCTGTTTAAAGGACACATTTCTGAATATGTGGAAACTCGACCCAGCGTATTCGCATGTCAGTCCTATTTTTAGAGACCAGAACACTGAACAGACACGTCATCTTGAATGCCTGGTAAAAGGCCATTGTATATTGTCACACAATGACATTGATTCGTGAATGCAATATAAAATGAGATCTAAATATTATAAATGGAAAAAAATATATATATTTATGCATCATTGTTCAAAATTGTGTGGTCAGTATTTTTTTTTTAAAGAAAAGACTGCTTATATTCAGCAAATTGATCAAAAGTGACATGTAAAAAGATGTCTATTTGAAATAAATGCTGTTCTTTTGAACTTTCTATTCATCAGAAATCCTGAAAAAAATGTATTTCCACACAAATATTAACTTGGAACTGTTTAAGTTAATAATAAATATTTATTAGCAGAAGAAAATCCCATTACATTTAAAATAAATAAAAATATAAAACTGTTATTTTAAATTGTAATAATTTTTAATTATTATTTATAAATTAAAGTTTGTCTACAAACTCTCCAATCTAGTTTATAAATTAATATTTGTTTAGTAAATAAATGCAGCCTTGGTGAGCAGAAGTGACTGACCCCAAACTTTTGAATGCTAGTGTATATATTTCAAGATGTCTTAGACCACAATGAAAATCTTGGGACCATTACAATGTATTTGATCATTGTATTGATCTATTTCTAGATCACTAATGAAATGTACTCAAGCAAATCTGTGATCGTTATGATAATAATTAATATCCCATTCTGAAAAACATAATCTTCAGGTTTTGCACAAACGGGATGATTCCATGTAGTTTGAGCGCTGCTGTCATTAAAACGAAACAAATATTTTGTTTGTCGATTTTTAAATTGAGATTTCCACTCTAATTGTTAAGCCAATCATTTGTAATAAAAAAAACAATTTATCCATTTAGAAAAAAGCAAAATGAAGGCTTTTCACTAGTGGTCTGAGATATTTAGACCCCACTGTATGTTGTTAATCACTGGCTCAGGGAAGTGCTCAGTTCTACTGGACTGACTCCAGTCATTTATTATAAAAAGGGACTCGAGTGTTTTAAAAATGAATGAGAGGAGGCCTTGCCCTCCACCACACTCTCTAGTGCTGCCATAGAGACCCAGTATGCTCGCTGCTAAACTGCACTCAGATTAGCATTTAAAAGAGCCCTGTGTCTGATGAGAATCACAGCGCACCGCTCTGACTGACTTTGAAGACCCAAATTACTGCCATCAGAGATCACACGAGCAAAGCTAATGCACAGACGTGATTTGATCTGCTGTGTTCATTTGCATGTTAATTATAGGTTAGATGAGCAAAGTCTAACGCCCATCTTACGCTTGTCAGCCGTTGGACC